AAACGCTTCTTACTTGACTCTTATGTCACCATTTTCTTTGTTTTACACGCTTAACACGTTTACTGTATTCAGAAGTGGTGTTGTCACAAGCTTGAATTAACTGTCACAACATATGTGATGAATTTTTCACTTTGTATTTTTACACACCAGCTTATTATTGTCATTTTTTTAACTCAAAAATGTCCTGTGATGGCTCAACTTAGTAATACTGTTTGACTGAAGAGGTGCACAGACATGGTGCCAATCGTGATTGTGATCTCAGGTTATTACCCTATTAAGTTTTAATGGAGAGCAGTCCAGCCTCCATTAGCATCCCTGCAGCTTTAGTGTCCCTTCTGAGTAACCTGTGCCTCACAAAGATATACTGTATTTTTTGACTGATAATTAGTGTGATCAATGGTATCATTAATATGTGAACATACTGAATATATGAATAATCTGTTTGGTGAACATTCATACATTTAAACTTAAAAAAAATATATATGTGACCCTGGAACACAAAACTGGAACACAAAATGCATAAGGGTCAATTTTTCAAAATTGAGATTTATACATCATCTGAAAGCTGAATAAATAAGCTTTCCATTGATGTATGGTTTGTTAGGATAGGACAATATTTGTCCGAGATACAAATATTTGAGAATTTGGAATCTGAGGGTGCAAAAAATCAAAATATTGAGAAAATCGCCTTTAAAGTTCTCCAAAGATTCCATTGCATAAGTATTCATATCTGGGACAGTCGAAATTTAGCTCAGGAGCATTCATTTTGCTTGTAGATGTTACTACACTTCAAGTGAAGTTTTGTGGTCCAGGGTCACATATATTTGATTAATTGTGTTACAGCAACAGTTCACCCAAACATTTAAATTGTCATAATTTACTCGCCCTCATGTCACTCTTCCGCTGCACATAAAAAAAAAAGATATTTAGAGAAATGTCTGTTTGGTTTTTTGTCCACACAATGAAAGTCTATAATGTCCAATGTTGATTAGTCATCAGCATAGTTCAAAATACCTTTCTTTGTGTTCCTTGGAAGAAAGAAAGCTTGGAGTGAGTAAATGATGACACAATTTTAAATTTGGGGTGAACTACCTCTTTAAAGGGAGAAAACAATGTCAGTGTGTTAACCTCAAATGAATGAAATGCAATAATAATAATTGTGAAGCATAATGCATTTTGTGGATTCAGCTGAATGAATTTGACAGCAAACTAAAAACCTCAAAGTTTTGAAGAACTTCAGCTGCAGAGATCATGGATTGATGTGCAACTGTTTTTATGCTGACAAAAAAAAAAGTATTTTTTAACAATAAACATTCTCTTTTTTGATAGTTTTCTTGTTATTTTGGTTAATGGGTTAAAATCTACATTTCTGTGTTAGTTTTGATATGGATACTTCATTAAATGCAAAATTACTAAATTCCATTTACACACATTGTACTCAAGGATTACCATTCATACATACAGAATCACATACAGTATTAAAATAGGTCCTCAATTTACTCAGGCCTTTAGAAAGTTTTCTAAAGAAGATTTAAGGATTTTAATCTAAAAACTAAATCAGTTATTTCAGAGGGTGGATGCTATCAAGATCTCTGTTATTCTACAAGATCCATGAACCAGTATTATTTTTGTTTATTAAAAAAGCTTAAATATAATATAGATTCAAAACTGAAACTGCTGATGATACATGGGGCAACTTTTTGTTAAGCAGTGTTGGCCACTGTTCCATTGAGAATGGGTAACAAATTTCTCTCTGGATACTTGATATCAGTCGTGGACCCTGTTTCTCACCTGGTTGCCCATTGACGGCAACATTGCCCAAAGTTGCCCCGCGTATCATCAGTCTATTAAGGCTATTAAATCTATTATAACTTCACATTAACAAATGGAAATTAAATAAAGCTTAATAAAAGCACTTAAAATTTACACTAAAACTAGAAATATAAAAGCTAATTGAAAATATTAATAAATACTGTATTAGTATGTAAATAATACTAAAATATGAATTAACTGCTTTTGGGGTGCTTTAATACTACGTATACTACATGTCCCATCTAGGATATGTGAAACTTCCATCTAAAACTGCACAAAATGATAAACTAGACATGAATGGTTTCCGAGTTCATTCAAAAAATGAATTCATTTGCCTTTATTATGAAAAAGAGAACATAGTGTTTGAGTCACATATGCAATTGTGAGATTGTTGCTTTCAATGCATTCCGCAGGTAAATGGCCAATATCGAGCGATTGTATATTAATGGAACAATATATTTGCATATAAATGTTGAATAAATAAAACAAAGGGTTTCTACATGTCCCACCAAGAATTGCAGACATACTGATATTGTACAGTATGGTCGTACAATATTTATTTATATTTTTGTTAACTTGTTACACATCGCGCAACAAAACTACAAGAGTCTGCAGCCACAACTTAAACGCAAAAGAAGGTAAAACTACTCGAATCATGTATGTAACTCTACAGAGCTGTCAATTCAGATCTTACACACATATACATATATATACATATACATATACATACATATATATACACATACATATATATACACATACATATATATACACATACATATATATACATACATATATATACATACA